GCATTGAGCTGAATTTATTTATTTTTTCCTACTAAAATTAGAAAATGTATCTTTTTTTCTTTTTTAACTTACGGATTTCTGAGGTGTGCATATGTGTCTTAATGAAGAGAAGGGAATGTATTCACAAATGTATTTGTAGCAGGATGTACTCCTGTTAGTAGGAGAGCATCTGGGGTGGGGGATTATGTTTCAGTCTCTTCCTTGGGAGACTTACTCTCATCTTTCTTCAACCGTGGAAGGTGCTAGGCTTATGGCTGGTTCTGAGAGGGAGCTCACACTGCTCAAATGACTTGCACCTCATATTAACAAAGTTATCTAGGAAGGGGATTAAATTTAGGTTTCTGACTCTACAGTGAAGCTTTCAGAACTCAAGGCTAGAATCATTCTTGCTCTTGCTGAAGTAGTGGCTTTAGCAGCACGGTTGGAAGAGACTGGTATTCTGTGCTTGAAGCTAGAATAGTTACTGCTTTGAGTATGAATTTTGTTTCGGAGAGCCGCAAAACGGTTGAATAAAGGGATGTACAGAGATCATCTGGTCCAACCAGCTCTGCTCAAGCAGCATCCCTAGAGCAGGTTACCCATGATCCCGTCTAGTCAGGTTCGGAGTATCCCAAAGGAGGGAGACTCATCAGTTTCTTTGGGCAACCTGTTCTAATGTTCAGCAGCCTCTTGTGCTGTCCTGGGTGCCACTGAGAGAAGTCTGGCTGCATCTTCCCCACGTTTCCCACCACGTATTCATAACACCAGTAAGAACCACCCGCCCCCCCCCAACTTTTCTTCTCCAGGCTACACAACTCCAGCCCTCTCAGCCTCCTCTTGAGTGTCAAATGCTTCCCTTAATCGTCTTTGTGGCCTTTCAGTGGACTCAATCCAATATGTCCATGTCTTTCATGTATTGAAGAAGCTCAGATTTGGATCCAGTGCCCCAGGCGCCACCTCACCACAGTCTCCTTCAACCTGCTGGTAAAGCTCTTAATAGTACAGTACAGCCCAGGAGGCTGTCGGCACTCCTTGCCACTAGGGTACATTGTTGATCCATGTCCCACTCATCCACCGGGAACCCCAGTTCCTCCTTTGCAAAGATGCTTTTCACCAGCTTGTGCTGGTTCATGGGGCTATTCCTCTCCAGGTACAGAACTTTGCATTTCCCTCTGAATTCAGTGAGGAATTTCTGCCTATTTCTCCAGCCTGTTGAGGTTCTGAACGGCAGGGCAACCATCTGGTGTATCAGCCGCTGCTAGTTTTGCATCATCAGCAAGCTTGGTGGTGGTGATCTCTGTGCTGTCATCCAGCTTATGTTTAAAATATATTAAATATGTTAAAACAGGATTGTCTCTCCATACCAACTTCTGGGGGGTGCCACTAACGACTGATGTCCGATTGGATTTGGCGCTGCCAATGCAAGCCTCGGAGCCTGCCAGTTTTCACTCCCCCTCACTGTTGCTTTTTCTAGCACACAATTCATCAGCCAGTTCTTGAGGATGCCTTGGGTCCAGAGCCTGACTAAAAATAAACAACATTCACTGCTCTCCCCTCATCCACCAAACCAGCCATCTTGTTGCTGAAGGTTATCAGACAGGCTAAGCATGATTTCCCTTTCACAAATCCGTGCTGGCTATTCCTGGTCACCCCTTTATCCCTTATGGGTCGGGAAGTAGTATTCAAGAGAACCAGTTGCTTCATTGCCTCCCGTAGCAATTGAGCTGAGGCTGACTGGTGTGTGGTTGCTGGATCCTCCTTCTTGCCCCACCTTGAGGATAGGACATACCTTGAAGATACCAGTAAAGACTGAGGTGAAGTGCCCTGCCCTGTTCAGCAGCAGACCCATGTTTTCCCTAACCACCTTTTTGCTGCTTATGTATTTACAGAAGCCTTTCCTGTTGCCCATAATGTCACCTGTCCCTGGTTCTGCCTCTTGTATCTTCGTTTCTATGTCTCTGTTCAGTCAGGAGCTTCTTGCTCATCCCTGTGAGCCGTCTGCTGCCTTTACCTGATTTTCCACTTGTTGAAAGGAGCTGATCCTTGAAAATCAGCCAGCTCTTTGGGGGCCTTCTTCCCTCCAGACTATGTGCATGGGATTCTTGACAGAATTCTTCCAAGGAGATTTCTGAGCAGACCAAGGTTTGCTGTGCTGTTCACATCTTCCAGTTGGCATGAACAAGGAGGACCTAGAGTTGCTGACTACTTTCATTTTTTCCTCAGATAACTACACAGTAAAAGGAAGCTGAAAGTTTCGGTACAAACTATTAATTTTTGTTCTTGCTGTTCTTGGGCTTGCGTGCTGAATTTGGGTGAAGTTAGAGCTCCATTGTAGTCTCGACTGTAGTTACTTGAGCGCTACCTGGATAGGAGGTTTAAGCAGAAGTTTTCTATTTGGTGTTAGTATTTATTTGGCAAGTCAGTTTAAGAAAAAAAGTGTCAAAATTTAAGTTTCCTAGGCTTTGCTGGAATATCAATTTAATACTCTCAAAGGAAGTTGATAGCTAAAGTTGACTCAACATGGACACTGTTTCCAGTATTGCCCTCGAGTATTGCCCTTTGTATTCTACAGGTGTCTGCTGAACACTGAAATGTCTTTCTTAGTATGTATAGTGATTTAATTGCAGGAAAACTGGTTAATTACATGTGATCTTTTTGCAAAGTGTGTTGTTGTGGGTTTTATTTATTTTTTGAAAACAACTTACTCTGTTTTTTCATCTCTTCTATTAGTACATGTTTCCTGATGGGGCCCCTGAAGCAATTGAAAAAAATGTTTGAGCCAACGAGGTTAATAGCTACAATTGTGATGCTGGTAAGCTCTCTTTTAATACCTTTTATCTATTTCTGCTTGTTGACAAGTTTTTTTCATTTTGTTTTAAAACTAAATGGGAGGCTTTTCTAAAGGGACAATATTTCTTTACATCTCCTTTATACAGAATGCTAATAGGCAAATAGCTATACATGATTACCTAATTCCTTCCTGAGAGTGTATGCTTTTATTTATTTATTTATTGGTTATGCTTTTGTTAACCTAATCATTTGTAGTAAAACAGTTCCTACTAAATCCTAGTATTAGGTTGTTTATTTCTTAGCTTGTTTTCTAAAATGATTTCTTAAAGAACAGGGCTAGAGCAAGTCTTTTCACCTCTTGCCAAAATTGTGGTGACCAAGTCTATGCTGGTAGTTGTCAGTTATGACTGTCTGTTTAGCTTAGTGGTTCAGCATTTGCTTAGTTAACTGTTTTGTTCTCCCTATCATATTTCTAATTAATTGCAGCTAATGTGGATAAGAAACCCTCAGTGATCTCTCTCTGGTCTGCTATCATATGGGTTGTGTATTCCCACAAACCTCCCATGAAAAAAAAAATTACAGTTTTCTCATTTGAGAAGCTCTTGTTTTCCCACTTTCTTTGAAGACATTACTTGATCTTTGCTGGGACTCTGAACTCTGTTAAAATGTAACTTTTTTACCTCAAGAAGATAAGGCAGGTGAAAGAAGAATAGGGTAGGAAAAAGGCAGACAGGGAATAGAGAATGTGAATGGTAGATGGAAGCTAAGAACATTTGGATGGAAAACTTCAGTGATATGGAAAAGAACTTGGAAAATTTTTAAAGCAACTTTTGGTGAATTTGACTTTTTTTTTCTCCCCCACCCCTTCAGAAAATTATTCCAGGCTCTTTAGTGCAGGTTAACAAGAGCAAAGGTTCTTTGGTAGCTGAGAAGACTTGGGAATCCTGGTTCTTTGAGCTGCCTAGCAGAAAGCTAGATTTGGACGCAATTCAGGAGTTGCAAATATGTCTGGGAAAAATAATAGTCTTATTTAATTTTTGCTTTTTTAATAAAATACCAAAATTTCTTTTTCAGTGAAAATAAAATGAGTTCTGTTTTGTTAGCTGCAATGACAAATAATGGGAGCCAGTTGAGTTTTAGTGGAAAAACAATTCCAATGATGGTTAGACTTGCACAAAGGTTGTGATTAATTTTGGATAGTAAGCTATCCCATGGGTAATGTTCCATCAAATATGCAAAAGAAAATCATGGAAATAACGCAATTGTGAATCTTATGTGGGGGAGCTTACATTTCTATCAAACCTTCATTGCTTATTCTGCAAGGAAACTCCAGTTTTCAGGTGCTTGTGCTGTATTTTAACTAACAGTAAGATGAATAGGAATTATTTTTTTCTAAAAATCCTGAGATTGTATTTGCAGTTTTAAGCACAGACTGACAGCTGATAGGAAGTAGAAAAGAGCTGCACGAGTGGCTTGAATAAAGCTCCCTGTAGCTTTCTCATTGTGCACGAGGCAGCTGCTCCCCAGTGGGCTCTCCTTCGTTATTACTGGAAGATTAAAAACGCTGGCAGAAGCGGGGCCTGTGTCTGCCAAATACAGTAATTGTGAGGGGATGGTTTTAATAATGGATTGTTCATCACAGTGCAAATACCTATCTTGTCAGATACTGGTGTTACGGATGCTAGATTCAATATGATACCATCTACTGAACGGTGTGTTAAACAAGCAATTCTTAAGACTAATTGCATTAAAGGAAACTTTATCATCTCTGCGAGCCTCCCAGTAGATAGAACATGGAGTTGTGCTGATTTAGTTATGCTTCTAATTTAGTGCTTCAGGTTTCTCAAGTCAGTTCCTGGCTCCTCCTCCTCCTTCTAAACACTTGTCCCAGCACATCCTTTGTGCGTTGGAAAACACAGTTCAGCTTCCTCATGGGTGCAAATCTGAGAGGAGCAGCTGATCCCCCAGGGGGCCGGTCTGCCAGGTTCAGGGTCCTCAGCAGGCTGCAGAGATGGGCAGAGAGGAACCTCCTGAAGCTCAACCAGGGGAAACGCGGGGTCCTTCTGCCCCTGAATCACCCCAGACGGGAGGTGACCTGCTTGAAAGCAGCTCTGTGGATGGGGTTGCCCATGAGCTAGCAGGGTGCCCTCCGTGCTGAGAAGGCCAGTGGCACCCAGGGCTGCGTTGCAAAGAGCGTTGCCAGCAGCTGGAGGGAGGTGACGGTCCCCTCAGCCCGGGAGGCTGCGCTGCAGGGCTGTGTCCAGGGCGCGCTCGTCCTGTGCGAGACGGACACAGAGCTATTGGAGCGAGTCCTGTGGGGGCTGCTAACGTGATGGCTGGGCTGGAACACCTGATGAGGAGAGGCTGCAAGAGCTGGATCTCTTCAGCCTGGAGAAGAGAAGATTGAGGGGAACTTCTATAGAATCACAGAATCATTATGGTTGGAAGAGACCTTTGAGATCATAGAGTCCAGTCATAAGCCCTTCACTCCATGCCTGCTAAACTGTATCCCTAAGTGCCTCATCTGCATGTTCCTTGAACACTGCCAGGGCTGGGGCCTCCACCATTTCCCCTGGGCAGCCTGTTTCAATGCCCCAATGCTGTTCCATGTGTGAACATATATAAGTGTTTGTAGGCAGAATGTAGAGAGGATGGGGCCAGAGTCTTCTAGGCCCCCCTTCTAGGGGCAGGACAAGAGGCAACAGGTGCAAACTGAAACACAGGAACTTATGTCTGAACAGGAGGAAAAAAAACTTACTGTGAGAGTGACAGAGCACTGGAACATGTTGCCCAGAGAGGTTGTGGAGCCTCCTTCTCTGGAGATCTTTCAAACCCATTTGGGAAACGTCCTAGACACTTCTAGGTGGCCCTGCTTGATCAGGGAGCTTGACTAGATAATATGCAGAGGTTGCTTCTAAGCTCAGCCATTCTGTGATTAATACAAAATTCTAAATATAAGCACTGTGTGCCTGTTTGTTTCATGAGTTCTTGAAAATGGCAATTACCCCATGAAATAAAAGCTGTGCTATAGCTGCTTGCTTGTATATGTGAGTATTCATTCTGTTTTTCTTTTTTTCTCCTTCTCTTGTCCCTTCTCCCTTCAGCTTTCTCTAATATTGACCCTCTGTGCTGTGTTCTGGGTAAGTGAGAATATTTTATTCCTCTAAAAGACATTTCTGCTTAGATTATTGATTGCACTATAGCTTTAAAATCAGGTCAGTGGTAAAGGAAATGTAAGCTCTTGGCTGTGGTGGTGTTTGTGTGTTCAACTGCAGTTGAATTTGGGTGGGCTGCCTACAAAGCTGGCATGGGATGCAGACGAGAATGCAAGACATAGAATATCAGTTCTTAGTCTGCAGGCTGCTTGTGTAAAAGCTAAGAAAAGCAAGTGAAAATACCTTCTTACCATTAAGTGATTTATATTTCTGTTAGAAAAAGTGTAGTGATCTTTCAAAGCCACAGAGACTTTCATAATTGGATGCAAATGGGATGACAGATAAAATGGAACTAGAATCAGTTATAAGAATGAGGAGGAGGTAATTAAGATGAGGCGTCATCAATTAACTAAACTTTTTCAGCTGAACAGGCTGTTTTACTTGTTTGTTGATGAATGCAAAAAAAACTAACTTGCAATATTTGTTTTGTTTTGACTTAGTGGGGTAAAAAAGGTTTGGCAGTATTATTCTGCATATTGCAGTTCTTGGCAATGACCTGGTAAGATACTTAAAATTCATTTTCACTTCTCCTTGCCCCTACACACGTATGATCATAAGCCTATGTATATACACATACTTTGCATAATGTTACTGTGCCCAAGTGCTAGCCTGAAATAGTATGTTTGCTTGTCTTAGCTGGATTATATAACTCCAGCAAAATCTATAGGCAAAATAGTAATTCTAGGTATATTCTGCAGTGTATTGTTCTTTGAACTCTTTTAGGCCTTCTGTGTAGAATTTTATATGCAAAACCACCAGTTGTACTGAGTGTATGAGAGCATAGTTAGGTGAACGCTTGCAGCCTGGTTGCAGTTTCTGAAACTGCTGCCTTCTCCATAAGGTAAAACTGAGCTGTGCGGTGTCCGTGGCCTAGGTGAGGTGTTTGTACTGACTCTAACTCCATCCCCTGTGGTCACTGTCCTTGTTCGAACCTGCCCCGAGGGCAGGAACCACAGGAGCTTCCATGGGAGGACAGAGAACTGTTTAATCAGATGGGGGTGGATTCGCATGGTGCTAGACCTAGGTAGATAGTTGATACTGTATGGAGAGGAGCTAAAAACACGTCGTGTGTGTTTAGTTCCTCGTTTATTAACTGTCCTAGAGCCTGAGCATGAGAGAATAAAACACAGACTATAGGTTTATGAGAAACAACTTCCAGATAATAATGAATGTGACACAATTGTGGCATACCTAAATAATATTAGGTGTATATTTACATAGCTCTCTATCTATTGTCTTCTAAATTGGGAAAAAAAAATCTCTCTATTGTCTTGAAGGACAGTTTTCCAGAAACTTCTATCCCTTTTGATCTGGTGGTGACAGTAAATTTCACTTCTGTGGGTTTTTTTTTAAGCTAAATTGATGAGCAATGGAAGTTATAAACTACATTAAAAAAATGCAAATAAGGAAACCCCTAGGATTACACTTAGTTCTTATCAAATTCCTTGTGTTTCTTCTTTTTTCAAGTAAGCATTAAATTTAATAAATAGTGTTGTTCATGAGAAGTTCATGAGAACAGATTTCTTTCTTGCTGAATTAAAGTGAAATAATTGGGCTCTAGGAAAGACATGAAAATTCATCCATGTATACTTTTTGCTCTTTTTCAGGTATAGTCTGTCATATATTCCTTATGCAAGGTGAGTTTGTGTAATTGCCTCCTTATTAACAGAAATCAGCTATCTTTATGGAGGGCAATATAATCTCCTTCTCTCCATTTTACTGTTTAGAAATGACATATTTGAACTCAAAGTAATAATTTAGATTTTAAATCGTGCAAAGTAGATCCTATTAAAGCTCTATTTTCCTTCTTGTTTTCACTGAAGATAAATACTGTTTCATTCTCCAGTGATTTAAAAAAATGTATTGATGCAATAGTAGCTCTTACAGTCCTTAAAGATAACAAGTCTGCAATCTACTTGATTAGAAGCAAGGGAAAAAAGGGTAATTTTGACTGCTAGGTCTGTTTGTGACCTCTTGCTTTTAGGAAAGGCAAAAGGAATGCTTTGCGTTCACTTTCTTTTTTGGTGGGCTTTCGTTTTTACTGTTGTGCACAAAATGGGGAAGAACTAGTGAAAGCACATGCAATTAAACAAGCTTGAGAATGTGTGTTTGGCTGATGCTTCATAGTAATGCAGCTTGGTCTTTCCAAAAGGGAAAGGATATATATTCTAATATATACCCTACCGAATGAAGTTTTTCCCTGGTGAAAGGGAAAATGAATACAAAGTATTTTCTATTTCATCTGTAGCCTTTCTGTTTCTCTTAAGCCTATGGTGTTTCTGTAACCTTACAGAAAGCTGTTTGTAGTACAGATTTTATCTTTATTTATTTGGCATAGGAAGAATTAAATTGCAATTTAAGGTAGTTGCTATTTTCTGGATACTTATAAGCAATGAAATACCGTATAGGAAATGATACTTCAAAATGTCATACCATATCTGATGTCTCAACGTCTCCCTGTCAGATTGATTATTCTGAGTTTTGTAGCTGCTGTGGCCATGTGTGCAACATTCTCAGTAGAGCCTAATCTTTCTTAAACATACCCTGTTCCATGCAGAATGTAAATGGAATTAATGGTCAGTGGCCTTTTCCTTCCTACCCTCAGTAGTTTCAGTTCTGATCAGGAAAAAAAGCTAGGCTTTATGCATCACTTCAGTTGTTTTTATTTGTCTTATTTATGGGCAAAAGGATTACATTTTCCACAGACTGCTTTGAGTAATACAATAACTGCCTAGTAATTTCTTTATGAATTACTAAATTTCTTGCTGATGTGGAATGCCATCACAAATCTCTATATGCTGCCCTTCCTAAAGGAAATGGTTATCTGAATGATGCTAGGTGCCAAGAAACAGTATTAGATACCTTGTTTGAAGTATCCAGAGATCTTGATTTACAACAAAATTGTAATTTTGTTGCTAAAAGCTGTCTGTTTTTAGCATATGCTGGGATGTAAACAGCCTTGGAATTGGACTTGGCAGAGCTGAGCTTCAGGGTGGGCTCTGGCCTTTCTGTAGCTCATCCCGTCGTGACTGCCAGCATCCTATACCACAAATCACTGGTTGATTTAGATTTCTATCCTAAATTTCAAAATTACAAATATTATAAAGAATATTAGAATATGTATATGGATGTGTGTATGATGTGTATATGTGTGTATGATAAATACAAATACCTAATTGACCTTTTTTTCTTTCTTTTCAAAGGGATGCTGTGATTAAATGCTTCTCATCCTGTCTAGAATAAATTAAGAGCAGGGAGCCACTTTACACTTTAAGAGCCAACTTTTCTTCTTCTGTGAATTTTGCTCAAAAAGCTATACTCTTCTACTCCTGAAATACCTAGTGACAACTTAGCATTGTCCTTGCCTTTGCAGTTGGAGGATTAAATCATTTTTGCTAGTATCAGTTTTAAAAATAAATTGGGATAACTGCATTTCTTTACACTGGAACATTTAGGTTTTTTTTTAACCAAAAAGTGCATCTAAATACTTTGTGGAAAACAGTCTTAAGTGCTTAAAGCTGTGTCTAGTAACAGTTTAATCCTCAGTGTAGGCAAGCCACTAGAGTCTGAGTAGGATGAGCAAAGACTTCATTTACAGCTTTCTTTAAAATTTGTGATGTACCATTTATATTTGCATGTTACTCATTGTAAGCTTTTCCAAAGACTGAGTTTTATAAACATTGTAAAGATTTGATAAGTTATGGGCTGCTTTGAAATGTCTATACATGTGCTTTATGGAAAGGAAGGTTTAGTGAGAACATGTTAAAGAGCTGTTAAACTTGCTGAATTTTATTAAAAAGCTATATTTTAAACTTTTTTTTTTTACTTTCACACTTAAATACTTTTTACTAAAATAACTGGATAATGTATAAATGAATGATTTGTGAAATAAATGGATTTTGAAGGTGTCTATTTTTTAATTTGGGAACCAGAGCTATCTGTATACAGGTTGCAAGTTTCTGCATTGCATTTGACTAAGTATGAAAATAAAGTGTAGATATGACTATATCCCAATATCATTTTAGACGTGCAGATGTGACTTCAGAGCTTCTTTATATCGATGTGCAGAAAAATTGGTCTTATAGAGTTAATGTGCATATATACAATATCAAAGAAGATATATTCTAAGAGTCTGCCTAGCTTCACCGAGATGTTTTCTCTCTCTCCCTTTTTTTTTTTTTTTAGCTAAGACATATTATATTATTTAGAAGCCAAGTTAAATCCTTACTCTTTGATGGTTAATATTACACGACAGGAAACTTTTTGACGCACAATGAAAAGATTCTACCTGTGTTATAAAATGCAATTCTTGTGACTCATTCTTCCCCCCTTTAACTCTCCAAATCCTAACCTAGAAGAAGGAGAAAGTTTGAAAAGATGTGAAAAGGTGATTTGAAAAGGTGTGTTGGTGCACACCTTAGGTTAGTGGACTCTTCATAAAAGAAAAACGCTCTGTTTTAAGCGTGATTCAGGCTGAAGTGAATGAATTTCTGTGCCTTTCCGTTGACTCTCCAGTCCTGGTGCCTGGGACAGCAGCCCCGGGGGGAAGGGGTTTAGCTGGTGCCTGCTGGCTGCTGCGGGGCTGTTGGGCCATTAGCCCTTGGGGCGAGTAGTGAAGCGGCCCCGGGGCCGCCTTCCTCCTGGGGCTGCTGCTCGGGGCCAGCCCTGGTGCTGCCCGGGGCTCCTGGTGCTGCCCGGGGCTCCAGGCGCTGCTGGGTGCGACCGCAGCCCCGGGCCTGGCCTCGGCTGTCCCTGCGCCGGGGCCAGCGCTTCCCTTCAGCCCGCAGGGTTGAGCCGGGGGGTCAGAGGGACGGGTGCCGGATACAGACAGGGAAGGGGCTGTGCTCGTTCCTTGCTTGCTCGTTCCCTTTAGAAACCCAGATTCCCTGGCTGTAATGGGCATCCCCCTCACAGGCACTACACCCTTGGGCAGGCGTTTGCCTCAGCCTTTCTCCCCTGTCAACTCCTGGTCCTGAGCCATGGTCATCTTCACTGTAATCTTAGAACTGCATCAGTTTTTATCTTTTATTTATGCAGATGATAAATAAAGGTTACACTCTGCTTGTCACAATATAATAGTTCAAGAATTAAAGTCTACAACAAAATGCATATATGGGTATGCTTTGATAACGCATCAGCGTGTTTGCTGTTTTTATTCTCCCTGCTGTAGTGAAGATTCCCTTCCCCCGTGGGCGTCCTCAGCGCCTGGTGGCGGTTCAG